GCTGCTCGCTCTATCGCCTGGCCCGGGCGGCGAGGGTTGTTGGACACGGCCGCCGAGTCGGCCAGGGCCGGGGCAGCCCGCGACCGGCTTTGGCGGCCTCTTCGGGGGCGGCACTTCGCAGGGGGTGTGTGTGCGGTTGTGCCTGAGCCGGCTGCCGGCCGGCCCCAGCGTGCAGTGCGAGGAGGGGACACACCCCTTCCTACCACACTCGGCCGAAGGTGCCAAACTCTTGAGCTGCGCGACTGCTCGCGGCCTCAATGCCGCCCATAGTGCGCTCGTTTATCATCCACACACAGGTTTCGTTCATTTTCGGCCCGGCTCGTTCCGCGTTCCTAATTGCGCCTTTGTCCCTTGCGATTGCGCTATCTCCGGCTGGCCGGGCCACTGCAGCGCGTCCGGCGGCGGACAGTGAGCCGGTAGCGACCGGTGGCGGCCCGGGGCCCAGGGCGTCACCCGCGAGTCTCGGTGACGTGAGGTTTGGGTTTTGTTTGCGGGCGCCACACCTGCCAGGGCGCGCTTGATTACGGCGGCGACGAGGAGCTGGCCGCCGGGAGGCCGAGGCCCCTGCGCGGTGTACGCTACTGCGCGGGCGGTCGGCGTGAAAGAAAAACGTAAATTTTTCCATTAATTAGCATTATTTATGAACAATTTTGTTTGTTAAAAATATCAACTTTCTCAACGATTCGAACATTTCACTGAGAAATGCTTGCAAAGAATAGGTTCGTCTTGCAAACTATTTCTTTGCAATGCAAACACATTGTTTGCAAGGATTCTGACACCTTGCAAAGAACTTCTTTGCAATACGAACTAATTCTTCGCAATACAAAGCTCGCAAATGCTTTGCAACGTTGCTAATAATATAGTTCGCACGCATTTTACAGTGTTTTACTGACATCGATTAACTTGGTTTTGGGTTTTCAAAGAAAACTTACAAGTACTTTGATATCGGAATGCGACTGCATCGTCACACTCTCGCGGGCCTCCTCGTGCCACGGGTCGCCTGCCGCCATGTCGGCTGGCCCATCACTCTGATAAGGGATTTTTTGGCAATGCGCGGTGGATCAGCAGCGGGCGGATGGATAGGACGGACGGAGTGGAGCCTGACGTTGGACCCGAGAGTGTCGCGGCACGGCGCGTTTTATCAAGCGAGCGAAAGAAAGCCGGGGCGAGGGCGGGGAAGGGAGAGCCTCGCCGCCCCAGCGCGCCCCAGCGTCCCACACGCGCGGACTTATCACCAGGATGTGATCCCACTCCGCGGCTAGCTCCGTCGAGCTGGGTATTTTCTTCTTATTTTCTTTTCGGGCGTTTCATATTTGTATCGTCGCAAAAACAATGTGCGCGCGACTTTGAATGAAACGCGGCGACGGCAACGGCGCGCGCGGGCCGGGGGCGGGGGAGCTCCTCGTTTTCTTTTTTCCCGCGTAGCAGTGCCCGGAACAGTGGGCTTGGACCAGAGCCTATGCCGGACGCTGAGGATCCTGGTGACTGCCGGCTCGACTGGAGGAGGACACGCAGCGGACCAGGCGCACAGGATGCGTAGGGCGGACAACGGCCACGCCCCGCCCCGCCCCGCCCCGCCACGCCGAGTCCGCGACCCGGCCTGTTACCGCCGCGTAGCAGTGCCCGGAACAGTGGGCTTGGACCAGAGCCTATGCCGGACGCTGAGGATCCTGGTGACTGCCGGCTCGACTGGAGGAGGACACG